CTACTAGTAGCTCCTGGCCTTACTACTATAGGAATAAGAAGCTACTAGCAACAAAGGGCATCGCTACTAACTGGCTAGTGCCACACTCATGGGTGGGTCGCATCATGCCGGCTAGCCCACTCATGATCCCCAAATCTCCACACATGCATCTCTAGGAAATGTTATTTTGAGTGAAGATGAGTGAAGCCAATCTCCACCATCCTCAAAAGAAAAACGCAACTGTCCATCCCCCATCTTGACCATTACCTGCATATCAAGGGCGAGTTGTGAGGGTCCAAGATCAGCAGCTGCCCCCTCCGTTCGATCGGTGATTGATGACAGTCGTCCGGTGTCGTCCGGTTTACCACCTCTGAGAGTTGCATTGCATTCACCGGATCTCCTTGAGGATGGACGATTTTGGAGGACTTGCCTTTCACCGACCTTTCACATGATGACCCATCTCCTCTTTTTCGTCCCGCCGAAACCGGAACGTCCGTCTTCCCCGTCGGACGTCCGCACGACAAAGGCCCCCCGGCTCCGGGAGGTCGATCTTATTCAGTGCGAAGATCACCGGCACCTGACCCAGTGGGGCAAGGAGATGTCGACCAAACGACCTGGACACTAGACCCCCCCGACTCTCAACATGTGACCTGCCACCGCCAGGACCAAACGACCCGCAGCGTGTCCACCAGCACCGAGCGCTTCCCAGCCCCGCTGGCGGTTCCCAGCACCAGCGATATGGCTCCCGGAGTGAATCGAAATGACATGGAACAACATGGAACACATGAGGTGAACGTTGAATGTCCCAAAGAACGTCCAAAAGGGTGATGATCACCAATGCTCCCGCACAAGGAGTCACTCTTCCAAGGACGGAGATGATGTACGTCATCCGTGTTTGCAAGATTCAGAGGCCAAGATTCATAGGGGTTACGGAAGGGATCTTGGAGGAAACCATATAGTTCATGGATGTTCATCGACCTTTCATCTTATTTGAAGCTGCAGGAACTAAGAGGGGATGATGTTGGATTATGCACTTTGACTCACTAACATGGAAGTGGAAACATTCATTGGGTCCATTTTCCACTTCCGTGTTATAAGTGAGTCCGTTGGTATAAAAAGCACCACTTGACGTTCCGTTTGTTTTTTTCAGCGGTATGGGCAAAAGTATCGGCTCTAGCCCTAGCTGTCTTTGTTTGTACTTACACCGTTGGTGAACCTTACTAAACCGTATTACATTCGCACGTATCTCAACTTATGTTACTGTAGTCTAAAAAAGCACCACCCCGCCGGCGTGAAGCGTTGGGGATCCCATGAATGAACCCTCCTGAAGCCTCATGATCCAGGACTGACTCCAAATTCAGAAAGCTGTCACAGCTGTTCTTTTTGTTTTTGACTAGTCAACCTTGTGGGTCAATTTGGTCCCTTAGACAAACAGTTCCTGCGCACGTTCCGACATGTCATTCTGAAACATCCCAGTGTGTGTGTGTGAAGGAATTCTATGTCCATTCTCTTTTCATAGGACAGTGCTTTCCTTCGAATAGTTTTGTATTTTTGAAACAATTTGTCCTGCAAAGAGGTGCAGCACTTGCCACAAGGTTATCTTGAAAGGCCAATTTTCACAGGGTCGTTGGAAAATAAGAGGTTGTTTGTTTTTGTTCTACAGCCAGTGTTTCGCTTCCCTCTGCGCCAATTTGCAGCTACCATTGAACTCACCTCATGAAGCACCGGTGAAGCACCGGGGTTGCAGGATTCTGGACGCACCGGGGTCAAAACACCGAGACAGGCAGACGACAGACAAACACCACAGCGATAGCACAGGTTGCACATGGTCTTGAAAGACCCCGATGTGGATGTGTAGCTGAAATAGGGAGACCTTCCAAAGAACCCCCTGGAAGAAGAGAAATAGACCAGTCTACCTTTTGGGCCAGGGGGTCTTCCCATTCAATTACACACCCATGTGGATGTAGATGTTCGACCGACACTTCCGACCCATCGACCAGTCTGCTTCGCTCCATCGACCAGTCTGCTTCGCTCCATCGACCAGTCTGCATGGGGAAGCCAACGTAGCTACAACACCTGACTAGATCGGGTGTGTCACCCAAACGCTCCGTTCACAGCCCGACTGGTCCCTCAAAACCTAGGGATTGGTTCGACTCTTCGACCCCGGACCTCTCCATATCAGGGTCCATGAGCGTTTGGGCAGGAGAAAATAGAACTCGCAAATGGTGCCGACACGATGCCTTCCATTTCGAGGCGTGCATCAGAACCTGCGTTTTCGGGAGAAAGCTGATTGGCTCAAATGGTGCAGCGCCGGGCATGAAAGACGATGTTGAAGTGTTTGCACTAGAATTCACTAAAACACAATCGTCGTGCGACAACAAATGGACACGATGGACTCGTAAATAACTCTTTCTGCAAATAGACCAGCGACTCTGCAAGGGCTTTTCACCCAAGACTAAGACTCTAATACTGGGGACCACTACTGGCCAGGCTAGGCGCTGCGGTGTTGCTCTTCACCAAAGACACCATTCAGAACACACAACACCAGGCCTCTGCCACAGCGCCTTTGGACATCCCGTCACGCCCTTCCCAGTCATTACATCCCAAAATCATCCATACCAGCACCCTCCAACAGGCTGTTAGTTGAGGGTTGTTGGACCCTAACAGGTCTCAATTGGTGACCTGTAGAGTCGGGTCCTGGTATATATATATATATAGGAGTCCCATGAATCCATGTGGATACGATGTGGATCAAACCGAAAGGGTACCCGACCTCCGGAGTGGCGAATCCCAGAGAGTCCGACCTCCTCTGTTTGCAGCTCGGCGCCCCGTTCCACAGAGACCACGACCACGGCCACCTGGCGAGTCCCAGAGGGGTCGACGACGAGCAACGGCAGACTTACCCAAGACCATGGGGGATTGATGATTGACATGTCATGACAGGTCCCAAGCACCGAGGCGCTAAGTGATGGCCTAGTAGCACCTACAGTACTAGTTTTTTGCTACCTACCTACGGGGTGATGACGGCATTGATGGGTGGCACATGGGTCATGACTCATGGCTTCTCCCTCTGTGACCTCGGTCGACTGGGTGCGGCACGGGGAGCAGGGAGGTGGGATGCGCTTCGCGTCAGTCGACGGTCTCAGCGACTGACTGAGTGATTGGAGAAGCCGGCATCGCTACTAGTAGCTTCTTCTTACTAGTAGCGATGGCCTCCAACCTACTTTCGATGGCCACCACCTAGTAGCCTCCTCATTTGGATGAATGGCGAATCATGAGTCTAAGAGTCAACCAGGAGTTCCAAGTCGGCGGAATTGAAGCCCCAAGTGAGTGGATGGGTTAGAGCCGGATTCGGAAACTAATCGGTCGGATTCTGAAACTAGGGTTCTGAAACTGGGCTTCTGAAACTAGGGTTCTGAAACTAGGATTCTGAAACTGGAGTTCTGAAACTAGGATTCTGAAGCTGGGATTCTGAAACTTGTATTCTGAGACTGGAAAGTCAGATTCTGCAACTTGTATTCTGAAACTGGGATTCTGAAACTGGAAAGTCAGATTCTGCAACTGGCATTCTGAACTTGGTATTCTGCAACTGGTGATCTCCACATCATGCGATAGCGTGTGCATGCGACTTCATCTTCGAAGCACATCCAAGCCAACGTCATTAGCCCCCCACCCAACCCCCCCTTGTCCTTATCGTGCGATCACGACATCACGCCAACCCCCTCATCATTCACAAAAGTTGCGGAGGGAATCCACAATTTTGCGGAATCCTAGTTGCGGAATCCTGACAGTTGCGGAATCCTAGTTTCGGAATTCTAGTTGCGGAATCCTAGTTGCGGAATCCTAGTTGCGGAGTCCCAGTTTGCGGAATCCCAGTTGCGGAATCCGACGAAATAGTTGCGGAATCCTAGTTGCGGAATCCTAGTTGCGGAATCCTGCGCAGTTGCGGAACTCGACTGTATCCTGAGTGGGTGGATGTGTAGTTGTTCACCTAAGCGGCCAGAACTCGGCACCCCTCCAACTCCTAGAGCCATGAATGAAGAAATCATGACAATGTATTCTCAGGATGCTTTTTCAAGATTGGTAGTCTCCCACAAGTCTCTGGCCACTGGCTCTGTATAGCTCTGTATAGCTCTTGTCAGGATTTGTTTGAAAGGTGGAAACTCTGGTGGCAAAATCCCAACTGTCTTTTGGTTCAACCGATTCAACCGCTGCGCAGCCTCCAGTTTCTGACCTGAAGGGTCTACCTCGTGCTGAGATCTGTGTTAGCTTGGGTTTGTGGGTCCCATGCCTAGGCACAGTCCACACCGGTCTACCAGTCATATTCTCCCCAGCTTGGAACAACTGAGATGGGGCCTTCATACAACCTTCATACAAGAAAGGGTATATACATGGCATGCCATGTAGAGGACCAACCTGATCAAAGCTCCAAGGAATCAAGCGGTTTCTCTCTGAAACAACTTTCCTGCAAAAGAATTTGAAAAGAAACCATAAATTAAGTAGTTCCAAAGGGGTGCCTATTGGAGGAAGTGCCCACATCCACAGCCCCTGGCTGGGACTAAACACCACACCACCCAACTCCATGTGACTCCTGCTATTTCAGTTCCTTCACCGGACTCGGTGGCCCCACATCGGCGGCCGCCATGGTGCGACCACGCCTGATCTTGACGCGAGGTCCCACCCAGACACGAGAAAGAACACTCCATGGGACTGACATAGTTATAAATACATTGGGGTGGTTGAAACGGGCTCAACGTGTCCAAAATCAAAACGCAACTGCTTCATCAAGCTTACACTATCCAAAACTTGTGTTTCGAGGAGCGGCGCAACATGCAACAATCCACAAAAACAACCCTAACGTGGACGTTTCAAAACTTTCAAAAATGCTGCACGGCTCTTGCTCCCTGATATGTGTTTTTTGAATCAATTGTGGCCCCATATTTAGACGTACACTAACCAAAAGGTCCTGACACAGTGAACATGTTTTTGCATTGTAACTACGTCTAAGTTAGTCATAAAAACAGCTTAGACTTATATACGTGGACGTTCCTTTTTGAAACAGGCATTATGTACGTCTACGTTTGTTTTAATGAGAGTAGATTGAGAGTAGATATTCCAGTCCCATGGATGAAGTGTTTGGGGACATGTACGTGGAGTGAAAACCGCCTGTTTGGTCTTCTGAAGATGCAGGTATCCCAAACTCCGGGCCATCCACTTCCACCATGATGATTTCAGGGAGTGTAGGTCTGGAACGAGGGGTCCAACACTAAGGCGGTCCGGGGTGATTCTCCAAACCTCCATGTGTGAGGTGCCATGTGTGATGTTGACTGAGTCAATGTCCCTGCCACCCTGGACCTACGACCTACCGCTCCCATCAAGGAGACGAAGGGAATGCACCGTCGAGCGGAGTTAGGACCGAAAGATCGACGCCTCATGCGGTTTGGACACGCGGTTTGGACCAAACCCCATAAGCATGATGTGTCGCCTAAGCTTGCAATTTAAGATGCTTACAACCCCAACAATGATAGCATATTACTTGGAATGGAAAAACGTATGTTTTTTTTTCTGCGGTTTGGCGAAACATCATAAAATATCAGTCCTTTTTGCCCTCAAAGACACGGTTTCATTTCACAAGTGCCGTTTCAATGTTTTTACAGAGGTTGCCAAAATAGCGGTCGACAAAAGACGCCGGTTCAAAACCTTGACTTAGCATTGAACAAATCTCAAAGCAAAATGTGCTTGAAGTCAAAATAGTTGGCATTTGCTTGAACAAAAACAGCGTTGATTAAAACGGCAGAAACAAAGGCATATCTATGAAGACCGAGGTATAATATGCGTGTACTGTATAGCTATCCCTTTGCATGGATGGGCAGCACATGGCTGCACCAGGCCGCGCGTGAAAGTCCGCTATCAGGCGTTCCAACTCCAGTTGGGTGGTCTGGATATCGAGAAGAACACTCCATGGGAGCATATTTACATACATTGGGCTGGTTCGTCGAATCAGCAGCGTCGCAGCGTCCCTGGGTTTCCGCGCGAGAGTTCGAAGGCCTCGTGGCCTGGGGTATCCAAGAAGGTCCTTGGCACAGAATTGGGCGCTATTAGCTTGGAGGCCATCGCTAGTAGGTTGGTGGCCATCGCTAGTAGCAGGTTGGAGGAGGCCATTGTTCATTGGTTGGTGGCTATCGCTAGTAGGTTGGTGGAGTGGTTGGTGGGTCATGGCCTAGTGGGAAACGCGGCAAATGGTGGAGTGGTCGGGTGTACAGGTGGGTCACAACATGTCACGACCCATCCTGCCCCCATTTCTCAAGACTTGAAAAACTCAAGACTCAAGAAGAGCAGTCTGCTGAGTCTGGTTTCTTAAGTAGAATGCCGTTTGGGGTGTAACCCTGATCTCCTTCATCTTCGCTGGGGATTGGAAACACATGCAGGACAGTGGGACCCAAATTTCATCAAATGTCCAACCTTGGCACCCACCGATGACATTGCTGGCGGCTGGACCCTTGGATCTCACACACCCGGCAGACCGAGGAGTCGGGATCGGCCGGCTGAAGGGGGATGTTCTACGGTCCACAGTGCACCTACGAGCCGTGTCGAAGACATCACCGTACCGATCAGAGGGTGGCAGTGGATCATGCCCACAAATGCTGCATGCCTGCTGCTGCTATACCCGAACATCTCCAAAATCGCTACCGGATGGTACCGGTACCAAATCGTTGGAACTCGCTTCCGCGGACCGGATCTGCTCCTGCTCTGCATGTTTGCGAAGAAAAAGAAGGCCATTCGGGTTCTCTTCCGCCTTCTCTTCAGAAGGCTACTCGATTGCTTTGCGAAAGAAACAAAAACAAACATGGGAAGAACTTCAGAAACACCAGATTCAGCTCAAGAAATTCTCTGTATTGTTTCATCTACACGAAACACGAAGTCCAAACCGGTATACGATGGCTCCGGTTTCTTCTGGTTCCCTAGGCAAACCTTGTGTGCGACCCTCACGCTCCAAGCCACATTCGGCTCGCGAGGCCTCGGCGGGTGGGCGGCGGGTGGTTCCACCTCCGAGTGGCGAAAGGTCCAAAAAACCACCAAACAACCATGTGACAAATTGGTCTACACTCCCGGAAAATAAGGATGTTTCACAGATTTGACCCCAGTGGGCAAAAATCCCGAGTTCTGAAGTTCTGAGACCATTTTTTCGCTACAAACAGGGGGTGCCTTCCACTTCAAATTATAGCAATTATATGACGCATAAACCGTAGAGGTCGAAGACGAAAGGGACAGGTCTCATGACGTTTTCTCACACCCCGACGTCATCCGCCGTCTTCCGGAAATACCGGTGACCCTCCGATGAACCCATCACATGGAAGTGGAAATCCAGGGTTCCTGGAAGACGATCTTCTAATGACAGGGGGATGTCCATTTCCATGAGTCGGAGTGATTTTTTCCACCTCTTGGATTTTGGGTTTCACGGTTTCACCCTACGGGATTAAGGTTGTTCACTGACTGGGTAGGGGCCGGAAAGTCCTTCTTCGAAGATATTCGAACAGCTCTGTCGAACCGTCCAAGTCGTCCGTCTTCGGACCCTTCCAACTCACAAGGGAACTGAACATGCACCAAAACATCCGTCAGAAAAAGAACGATGGCCTTTAATAGTGATGGCCTCCAACCTAATAGCGATGGCCTCCAACCTACTAGCGATGAAGGAGTCAGCACCAAAAGATCCCTAAAAGAAAACCTCATTCTTCAAGGTGTTCAGCTTAGCGTCTGGCCTGATTCCTCCAGGTCCTTTGGGCTGCTCTGTATGGCCGCGGGGGCCTGCTCTCAGCACTGCGGGTCACGGATTTGCTGGGCAGCTCTTCCAGTTCGGAAACAGAAAGACCCTGAAGATTGGCATATGAAACCATACATTGGAGTGGTTGATTTCAAAGGTCAATGTAGCAACAATTCAGCAAAATATGCCAGTGGCATGGAGTGTCATGGAGTGTCTATAGGTAAAGATCCTTTTCGAAAATAGACCAAAACAATGGATCTTTCTGTCTGGTGTCGCACTAGTCTTGCGCCCAGGGCTGGTATGCCGTACGCCGAATTAGACCACCAAGTGGTTGATTCATCTGAATTGCAGTGAACTTAGTGCACTTGCATGTGTTCAACAGGGGACCTTCGTCCTCTCGTCCCTGGCTTCGATTCAAACCCGGATGACCGCCCAGAAAAAAGGGGGAACCCTCCAAAAAAAACACATCCAGCAGGTTGAGGGAACCAGCAGGTTAGCCTTCCAAAACCCCATCCAACCAAGCAGTGGACTCGCCAAAGCACTGAGATTGAACCGAACGGAGGACTGCTTAGGCTCCCTGAAATCGTCATGGAAGTGGACAATGGCCGCAGGTGGTTTTACCGTAAGGATGACCATCTATTCTCTATATGCAAACCAGGTGTTTTTTTACCAATTCTTTTCAGGGAGTGATGCCCAGGGAAAGTGTCCTGATGATCGAACACTGTCCTTCGATCGCCCAAAGCGATGCCAAGGCCAAAGCCTGCCCCAACATCCAATTTGTTACAAGCTATAGTACTATAGGCTATAAGGGAAGTGACTGCTGGCTCCACATCCTCAGAAGGTTGGGACAAACCCACAACCCACCTTCACGGAGGTGGTGTGAGCCCTAGGGATATCACACCGGTCCTAACAGCAACGTATGTGTTCCCCAAGACATGACTTTCCTAGAACATAGACTTTCCTGTGACTAACCACCAAGAATGGGATTGGCGCCATACCTACATTGACCCCTAGTATCCCCTCTAGTCCTAATTATATAGTGTTTGGAGGTGTCTTTGATTGTGGTTTCATCAGGCAGTGTCCCCTCGAAAAATTGGCAGATTTTGGTAGTCTTGTAGACTCCAAACAGAAGCAAGGACACTACTAGGGGCTCCTGGCCTTACTACTACATGTAGGAGCAAGTAGCCACTAGGAACAAGAAGCTAAATAACAACAAAAGATCTGCCGATTCAAATCCATCCACGTATCTCTGCATCTACTCCTCTCTCAGGCACAGCGGGTCGACGCCACCGTACTGCAACCCAGGCTCGTATGGCCGGCAAGTGTGAAACAGGGATGAACCATTGGAAGCCAGAGGCTTCTCTCGTGCAGAGACCAGTTCTTGCAAGCGCTTTCGAAGACCATTCTGCCCCCATTGGGTGGTGCGCCCTGATGAAAGAAGAACAAGATCATTTGGGCGTGAGTGAAAATAGGGAGACCTCCCAAAAACACCCTGGACGAAGTCAAATAGACTAGTTGGGGGTCTCCCTATTAAAGCTCGTCCATATCAATTGCCAGGAAACCTCTGTCACTTGCCACTTGTACCTCAGGTCGTCGCATCACCTCCAGGCACTGCGCTCGTCCTGGATGTCACCACCATTCAGGCACAAGGGTCCCAAGGTCTGCATGGAAGCTGGCTGCACAAACACAAAACACAAATATTACCACAATGGCACCACAATCTGCAAATTATAAGGTTTGATAACGTTGAATCTGCTTCAAAGCAAAGGCATCCATGCTCGGCCATTTTGAACCTGTACACTTGAATGGAATCAATGTTGAATCATCGACGCATTCCACTGGCAACTGGTGTTCAAACGTGCCGCTCCGGCACCACCGGCCCCTCGCTCAAGGCTGTGAGTGGAGACTTCACGTAGACATGTATATGAATATATGTATATATGTGTGTGTGCATAACATGTTATAAAATGTAGGATGATGATGATGATGATGATGATGATGATGATGTTGATGATGATGATGATGATGATGATGATGATGCTCTGAGTTTGGAATGAAGGCACTGAACTGTCAAAAAACCGACTGTCAAGCAGTAAAACGACCAAAGGCCTTTCTTTCTTGTATTCCTGTGATTTCCGGTGGCCTCACACAGTTCCCGCTCGATTTACCTTGCACAACACTTCCCACTTCCAAGCAATGCTCCACATCATCTGGACGGGGCTGTGCGATATCCGTCAAGCAAAGCTGCGTCGACCTTCTAGCTGCGGGGTCGATTTCATTGTATGAAATGACTTGCGAAAACAACCGCACCTACAAATGTGCTTAAAACAGCAACAAAATGACTTGCTCCGTCTCATCTCGCCTCGCACTCGGGAAAAATCGAATTCTACGATAGCTCATGTCAGTCTTCCGCGTGCGCCACGGACACGGTGCTGAGGCTGTTGCCCAGGTCGGTCGGGGGGTTCTTGGTCCGCTCGCGGGGCCCACCATTTTCTTGCTCGCCGGGCGGCTCGGCGTCGGAGGGACTAAGAATAAGCCTGGCCGGCCGCCCGGCTGGCTGTTGCTGGATATTTTATGTACAAATATGTGGTGCTATATATGCGTTGCCAGCTCTGCCCGTTTTCCTGCCCGGTCTGCTTGTACCTATGCTTCCTTGCGGGCCTGCCTGCTTGCCTGCTGCGGTGGCCTACCGGCCTGCGGCTGGTCAGCCGCCGGCCTGGCGGCGAACCGGGGCGGGGGGATCTTCAGGCCTCGGGTTCTGGTGGAGGGGGTGATACGGTGGCTTTAGGTGGCGCGTGGCCGTGCGTTGGCGTGGCGTGTTCTCCGAGTGGCACACAGTTCGGCGGGGGGCAGGCTGCGCGCTGCTCGGTGCGGCTTCGGCGGCCGGCGGGGGTGGGGGCGGGGGGGCTGAAGCTGCCAAAACAGGTCGGCGTCCACGGGGCTGGGTCTCATCTAATTATGTGCTCTGTGCGGCTCTCCGGCGGCTCCTTGCGGCGGCGGCGCGGGCTTGCCAAGGCGTTGGTGTTGGGTGGTTGGAGTCTGGGGCCTTCTGGAAGTGCGTCGGGGGCCTTCTGGGTAAGAGTTTTCCCGGGCGCCTGGCCCCAAGTGCTCTTTGCGGGCGGCCGTGGCGCTCCTCTTCCGCCGCTGGTCCGATCCACGCAACCCGAGGTCGCCGGGGTTGGACACAGATCACGAAACACCAACCGTCGCACACACCCGGACCATCCTGTCTGGGTGTCCTGGCTGGAGATCCCTAGTCGTAGTGTCGGGTAGTCCAGCCAGGACACCCAGACCGGGGTCCTGGCATACATATATATATATATATACGTATATATCATCACCATGAATCACCCAACTCTACAGGTCACAAATTGAGACCTAGTAGCAGCTGTATATAATAATTAATAACTAATACTGCCATACTGCGTACATTGACCCTTCTTCAACCACTCCAACGGTAGGGAAAATGCCACTCCCATGGAGTGTTTCGGAGGTTTCTTTTTCTGAACGAAAGAAATAACAAAATATCGAACATTTTCGAAATTACTGCCCACGACCACCTTGCTGAGGTTCTGTGAAGAAGGGAAACCCTGCGAACCACGCGTCATTCTCTCCGATTCACGCTATGCTTGGCGTTCCATCTCGGGGTCTCTGCATGTCTCTTCCCCGACCAACTCGGCATGCTATGCAGTCGAAATTACAGAAGCACTTCCCAAAGGTTCTGCCAAACTTCGCCTCGCAGAACTTCTCTGAGGGTGCAAAAAGATCAAAAAGAAAGAAAGCAACGTCCTGCGTTTCAATGCTTGAGATTCCAACGTGGTTCAGCCACACTGCACCAATCACCATCATCAGCAGCCGAATATGATCGAATATGTCTGATGATATCCTGTCTCTGTCAAAACTTGTCGACTTTGTCGTCGAAACACACACTCTCGCATCCCGTTTTCAGTCACATCACACATCACATCACGAAAAGTATCACAAAAACCATGCGTTGGGGGCGAGCGCGCTCTCGGTCGAACCGACCCCACGTTGGGAACATTCAAAACGACGAATGGGACGCGCGCCAGACGTGGGGGAGCTGCGAGACGAAGCTCGCAAACGTCGCAAGCGGACTCCCCGAGGTTTCCATGATTTCTGCAGCTGAGAGCGCTGCTTCAGAAAGAAACGCCACATGAGACGAGCAAAACAAAAAGGTACTGGCCCTATAGATCCTGACTCAGGTTGGTCAAGGAATCATCCCAATGTTGACAAACTAAAACTAAACCCTATAATTCTTGGAAACCCTTTCAATCTGTATGGCGGGTGCGGGTCAAAGCCTGATAATTTCTGTAGCGCATGCCGCATGCCTGCAAGCAGCTATTCCTCACATACGAAAACACCGAAAACTACGCAAAAAAGCACGTTCCTTAGGAATCTTAGGAGCTTTGACCCATTCCCACTGTTCTCAAATACTGGCATTCCATCATTGTTTGTTGGAGCCAGGGGGTGAAACTGGCTCGGCCTTTGCCACTCCAACAAGTGGCTGGAGCCAGCACAGGCTGGCTCCAGCGCACGCCAAGCCGCTTGGCCAGTGATGGGCGATGCCTCGCTTTCGTACGGGCTGCCAACTGATGTCGAGGTCCGAGTCGAAGCTGCTGGAGCTCGGACACTATTTCCATTGCCAGCGCCCCGAAGGATAATATCAGCTACAAATAGCGTCAATAGACACCAAATCCAAACTCGCAGTGGCCTACTTGAGAATGCATGTAGTCTCTTCCAAGCCTTTGTGATTGGCACGTGGGTCCAGCATGGTCATGCATGGTCTGATCCAGGCTTGCCATGTTCTCTTCGAACAAAACCCGAGTCTTCGGCCTCCTCTTTTCGGCCCACGGTTGACCCAAATCCTCGTCGCGGGGGGGGTGTTCATCCAATTGATCAGGTCCAGCAACACCAAATTGAGGGCGGGGTTCCAAAAACCCAGCGAACTGCATGGTGCTGGGTTAGTGCTGGGTGTTCCCGTCCCACCAAGCGAACTTTTGGTGGCTGACTAAGACAAGCCATG